TCGCTTTTAGAAGGGAACTTCAAGGGATTTCAAGTGTTCCACTATCATTCGCATGGAGAAGGAGACAAGCATTTAGCATGAGTCAGGATAAGTATAAAATATAGATCTTAGTCAGAATATTGAACATACATGGTTGAAAAGAAAAAAATAGTGACATGTATCCATGCTTATGTGATAAGAAGTAAATATTTAATGTCCGCTTTCCTTGTTGTGTGATGTGGTTGCATAGATACTGTGGCTCAAAAATAGAACTTTTTGCAAAAGGAAGTGATGGTATACATACAACATGTGAAGTATATGAAGTAATTCTATGCACTTTACCTGTTCCAGGTCTGGCAGTTGTCACAAAGATCTATGAAGGAAAGGCAGACTGGTCAGAACTGTTCACACCCTCAAACTTCTTCCAGAAATACAAGTAGGTGTTATTCTTTTGTCAGTCCACATTTTGTTATGTGATGGACGCCTCATTATTTGTCATACCCTTATGAGGTTGTTTGGAGAAGTGACATGCTTCATGTTTCTGTTGCAGACACTACATTGTGCTGGTTGCAAGGGCAGAGGAAGAGGAACACTATCTAGAATGGTAAGTGCCCCATCAGTCCATAGATTGTATTGTGATATCCACAGGGCCTCAATTGAAGTAAGTGAAACTAACTTGCACCCAGTACTACCTTAGGTAATAAATGAGGAGTGAGAGAGTTTAGTTTTATGCCACACTCAGCAATATTCTAGCTGGCAGTCTGTAAATAATCTCTAATCCAGTGATTAACAGCATGAGCATCGATCAACGAATTAGGATAATGCATGACATGAGTCAACCAAGTTAGCTGCAGTCTGACCACCCGGATCTGTTAGTCTTACCACTTCAGTCTGTTAGTCTTAATTTACAAGCATGGGTTACTGGACATCAATTCTAATCTGGATCTTCACGGGTTCTTAGGTAATAAACTTGATTCACCAGACAAAATGTGGATTGTAGTTTGATGGCCAGGGCCTTGGTCTCACAGTTGAAATAACTGGTAGTTACACATATTTTAAACAGAATATTTATTTGGCCATGATGACTGAAATGATTGTTACATTAATAAACATAGCTGAAAATAAATGTCAATATTCCTGCCCTTTGCATACTTGAAATAAGAGTTATGTTTATTGGCTTGCAAATATGTTTCTGAATGTGTTCCTTCCAGGCATGGCTATGTGGAGTCAAAGATCCGCTTGCTTGTGGGGAATCTGGAAAGAAACCCATTCATCAAGCTTGCTCATATCATGCCAGAGTCATTTGGTCCACTCAATGAAACGTGAGTTACTTGACATGTAGCAGCTTAAATACTAAAAAGAATCTTATCAGACAATATATTCAATTTATCCTTATTTACATCTGATCAGTTTTGACTTGAAATTTCAACATAAATGGCTTCCCTGCCTTTCAGTTTTTGATTGTTTAATCCTCATGACAACACAATGTTATGTATACATGATTTTAGATGAACCATGGGAGATAATTATCTATCAGATGTCTCTAACAGTTGCTCCTTGATAGAGTTGTCTCCCCCTCAGTGTAAGTACCAGCCAGACTATTGTTCTTGATTGAAAGATGATGAAATTGCTTGTGCCTGTTACAGAGAAGGAAAGTTCATGTGCAAGTGGTTCATCGGTCTTGTATTCAACAACACTCCATCAGCCAATATTGACCTCACATTCGATATACAGTCTTTCTCTGATGTTGGTGAGTATGTCGGGTGTCTAGGCACAAATCAGTCATGTCATGGGATGTCATCAATATTCAGATTGTGGGTTCACGTTTACCAAACTTGTTTACTGCTTAGTGTCAGGTTTTATGATTCATGTCTGGTGACAAGAGTGAGGGTTGTATAATCCCAGGCCATGTCAGACAATAAGATGTTAAAGATGGTAGGTACTTTTGATCCTGTCTGACACTCAACTTAAGATGAAACAAGGAGTGTACATCTGTCAAGATCCGGTTTAGAATTGGTCTTCAGCAAACCCTGCTTGTCGTAAGAGGCAATTAAGGGGAATGGTTGTCAGACTCGCTGACTTGGCTGATGCATGTCATTGTAGATCAATACTCATGATTTCAATCCCTGGATTATTTCGAGATAGCTGTCATATAGTTGGAATGTTGCTAAGTGCTTTGTTAAACAACAAACAAACTATATCCATGTGAAACTGACCATGGTATACTAGAGGGCTCGACACAATAAAACTCACTTTAGTCCCTAGTTGCTTTGTGAAGTAATAAGTGAAATAATCTTGAATGCAATCTTTACCTCCCTCATGACATATTTTAATGCTTTTCTGAAAGATGCATAACTAATTGAGCTGTTACTCTTTTCAGTTCACAAGCAAGCCATCCATCTAAAGTTGTTTAAGGATGACATGAAGCTTGAGGTCACATATGAAAAGGTCAGATGTCATTTTAATCATAGGCTGATAACTTTGAGTAGCCTTAAGGTTGTGGCTACGTGCATACATTGATATTTCTGCTCTTTGAAATTGCTAGATTTTTCCCTTATCCTGACTCATGCTCTTTTGCTTGTCTTCTTCTTCTTGCAACATAGTGGAACACTTTGTACCTCCCTAATTGAAGCTCCCTTCAATGTAAAATCACTAATTAGTACTCAGCACGAAGTTACCTCCCTTCCACAAGCTGGGAACGAGGGCTTACCTCCACCCATGTGCCTCACTCTTCCTTCTTTCCAGTGAGCTGGACGCGAGAGCTCCTGTGTCTCCCTCGAATACACTATATCCTTTGATTATATTTAGTTAGTTACCCCCGTGATAGACATCTATAGAGGTTTAGCTTAGTATCCTTCAACAATTATATATTGATATTTAGTCGCGGTTTCTACTGTTTATTCACGGGACGCTCGCGGTTTGTTTCAGTGGATTACGCTGATAAAAATTCTGTTCTGTTGCAGATTACGCTTTTATTCTGCTGCTGATCCGCATTTAATATGCCTCTAGTTGTACTGGCGATGTTCATTTTATTCACGCTTGCAGTTGCAGTACTAATTTATCCATTTCTGCCTTTAATAAATAATACCACTTTGCGCTTTGAGACGCTGCGAGCAGATAGGTCGCTGTGATGCAGAGTCTAGCCAGCTTCCATGACTGATACACCTGAACCCTCGCCAGTCTACTGTTGTTGGTCGACTCTCGGCCCCGCCTGGTGTTCCGCTTAGAGTGGTGGAGAGGCGTGGACGAGTCCGCCAGCCGCTTCCAAGAAGCGTTCCTCCTGCTTCCCAGACATCCCATCGCCGCAGCCGAAGACTAGAGTTTTTCTACTGCATCTCAACGCTAATTCTGAGGGGAAATCAACGGTCTACTTGAACTTTCTCAGCCGAGATTGTTCCCAGCCGCAGATTTGGGCCTGTATGATGATCAGCCGATCATCATACCTGATGTACATCAAAAGAATGACCGATGTCGGCAACAGTGATGTCAGCCAGCGAGATCAACATGCAGCCTGATGTACCAACGCTGATATTCTATGATCTTCCTGAGGGTCCCGCTGCTACAAACACTCAACGCAGACTTCGCGACCCCCAGGGCAGCCGCCGAATTCTGAGGGGAAATCAACGGTCTACTAGGACTTTCTCAACCGGTGATTGTTCCAGCCGCTGAACTGGCCTCTAATGATGATCAGCTGATCATCATCCCCGACGCACGCCACAAGAAGCGACCGGAGACAGCTACAGTGACATCAGCAGAGATCGCCATGCAGCCTGATGTCTCTACACTGACGCCAGATCGACTCTCCTGAGGGTCCCGCCGCTAACATCGCAGAGAGGGCACCAACTAATTCGGCCGCAGACCATCCCAGATGAACTGTTGCGGCAAATCATGATCAGGCGATGGAGGGCCACCACAGACTGGGAAGCAGCCAGCCCAAGGCCCGAGCCGCGAAGGTTCCAACGCAGACGACACCCCAGAGGCACCCCCATCAGCGTAGCAGCCACGACGAAAGCCACCTTCGCAAGGAAGTCGCAGACCACCTCCACGGCGACCCAGATGTACAGCCTTCGCTGAAGGCCTTCGCCTTCCAGGCGGATAGATCATCACCTTCCTCGGGCTTCATCCCTAGATGCGGACTCAGACCGTCCAGACCTCAATGAAGCCTTCGGCGAAGGTCAAATCGCCGCTCCCAGGACCGGACGAGGAAGCCGAAGGACACCTGACTACACGAGAGCTTCAGCGGCTATCAACATTCTCCTCACAGGTCTCCGGTGAAGGTCAACCCATAGACGAAGTTCACCAACACGATCTCCGCCGCTAAACTGCACCCGATCGCCTCGCACATCACCAATGTCGATCGCCCTCACAGGTCACCACCACACGCCTGCACATTAAAGTCTACAGTCAGGTCTCCCCGAAGCTGCCACCCGACATAGAGATAGAAATACACAGTCCATCATCAGAAGAGCATCAACCTCTCATCAGTGATGCTGGGATAGAAAATGATGGAGGCATCATTTTCTCAGACGCCTGAGATACTGATATTGGATGGTAAACAACCTAGATCTCTTCACCTTCCCAAGTGGCAACTCGGCGCAGACATACATGATAAAGGAAGACGAGGCAGACGCCATCACCTTTACCTCCAATCGACTGATTGCTCAGCGGTGCCACAGTATGTGGACATTAGCCTACCATAAAGCCATATAATAGTTCAAAACGCCAGAGGCTTAGGGTGTTTTTGGCATTAATAGATCTAGAACGATCAATGAGATTCTTATCACCAGATTTCTCGTGATACACGACTTCTGAAGATGATAGATGATCTACTCGCCTCTACTTATGCAGAACCAGCAAGAACTACACTTCCTGTATGAAGCTAACGGCTCATATATTGATCGGTTTCTAGACACTTCGGGCTAAGGAAGTCCCAGGCCACCTGCTGAAGGAGCTAGAGCCTCACCAGTTACAAGGGGACGCCACGGAAGAGTAGCTTCACCTCCCTCTACATATTGCTGAGTGCGCGGTAAAACAATACACTCACTCACTCACCCTGTTGAACACAGAGGTCGCTCATGCAAGCCAGCAGCTTCATATATTATATATATACTGATCGGGCTCTGAATTTTAATAATTTTCAGCTGGTCATTAAGCCTAAGTGGCTCCAAGTCTACCCTTCACACAGGAAATCTAGATTGATACTTCGAGAGCTTCACAAATCTCCGGCCCACCGAGGGAATTCTCCTCCAAGGTCTCCATATATTAGCCACTCAGCCATATAGCTACTGCTCAGTCCTACTCAAGATATCGTGATAAGTTGTCTATCAACTGTATGCCATATGCCGTCTATAAGCCCTCGTGGAAGACAATTGCACAGGCTATTTACAACACAGAACGCCGCTATATTAATTAATCAATCGGCGCTGCATAGATCTTCACAGAAATCAACCTTTCCTCATAGATTGCTAGAATATGCAACTCCGATCTACGATACGATTATCTACATGCGTGACCATTACGCAGATCTGCAGACAATTCAATATCGAAATTGAACAGCAGCCTTGTTACAGCGGTAGTATAACTCATAATCGCCAAAGTTTCTGAGAAGAAATATGTACAACAAGTTCAGCTTTAATTCTACAATTATGGCGATACATTCATGTATACAGTCTACAAGCTGACAACTTGCAAGTTTATTGTACCTTTATATAAGAAAGTCGAATTATATTCAAAACTGAAGTTACTTTCACGACAGCCAGGAAAATAACCTACCCAGCATTAATATTACAGAGTTTAGGTATTTTGCTACGGAGGTTTCAGCGTTTACCTTTAACCCTCAAAACACGCGGGTCACTTTCGGGTAACTTCGAAGCTACGGTGAAGACCGGCGATTATGCTAATATCAACGACTGGCAAGATTTTATACACAAGGTTTTTCCTGCTACACCGGTGACATCACAGCCGCGGGTATTCTACAGAATCAAAATGCCTTGTTCTGATTGGACCATTGGACAACGACTCCTACTTATAGGTCGATCTTAATTCACAGGTCAACACTTACGCTTATAAGTGACAACTATATATCAGTGAATCCGAGCAAGCCTCCTTACAGTCCAGTTAATCTGAACCTTCATGATTGGCCTGCTTTCTTCAGGTTAGAGACCTCCCCTGTCAAGTTAGGGCGAGGGAGCACGGCAGTCAGGCAATTTTACATAAACTTCAATCGAGGACAGACACACCTGGTTGTGCACCTACATCGTCAGGACTTCCAGAGCGAATAACCTAGGCGATCGGGATACAAGTGGATCTAAATCCACAGCCGCCTCGAGACTACAGCTGAATTTCATAATCAAGCTACTAACACAACTAGATGGTTAGTAAACCTACTTAAACTTTCTGATTGGAGAATTAAAAGCGGAAGTTTCACCCCTCCAACTTGGGATCTGAATATAGTGCTCCAACACCTCACAGAGTGAGGTTTATGAACACGCCTGGATGACATACTTGGACTTCATGATACGATGATTCTATCACGATGGCCAGCAAGAGCACTGTAAATCCATCTCCACCTAACTGAAACAGAAGGAAATAATACAACAGATTATTTCCCTCTATCATCAACTTAACGAATGAAATCTCATTACTATATCTCCGTTTGGATCAGAACTGTCATACTCACGTGCATACAAGACGGATGGACCCAATCCGACCTCCATGAGCTTTAATACTCATGATATTAGAAGCTAACTTCTGCATTGATCTACACAATGTTATTTGAAATAATGGAGGGTTTATTTTCTGAGATCCGATATGGTGGTTGCCAACCATTATCTGAGAGATATCATCACCGAGGACGCCCTCAGGTATCCACCAATTGGATCCCATGGTCCTCGCACAACAGTTGACAGTTCCTCGTGAGAAGATAAGTCAATCTTACAGATTTCTACTTATCTTATAACAGTACTAAATAGCTACATGCTATATATAATTTGCTTAAGTTCTTTTATCATCACAGTACTATGATTATTACATCATACAATATATAAGTTAACAACTCTACAGAGTTGGTTATTATATATTTACCTTAACTTAATTATATCTTAAGCATAGTACTATACTCAGATTGTAAAAATATATAAGCTAACAAACTCTACAGAGTTTGGGCTATTATATAGGTAGCTTAAGCTTATTCATATCTTAAGCTCAGTACTATGTTTATATCATATAAGTATATTAGCCAACAAACTCTAAAGAGTTTTGCTATTTAAGCCTAAGTCTCATCATATCTTAAGCAATATGGTTACATTATAACATGTATTAGCTAACAAACTCTCACGGAGTTTTTGCTATATGTAACTTAAGCTTATTCATATCTTAAGCACAGTACTATGTTTATATCATATAGGTAGTATTTTAGCCATCAAAACCTAAAAGAGTTTTTTGCTATTATATATTTGGCTTAAGTTTCATCATAATTTAAGCTTTTATGGTTACATTATAACTTGTATTAGCTAACAAACTCTACGGAGTTTTTGCTATATATATATGTAGCTTAAGTTTCCTTCAAATCTTAAGCTCAATACTATGTTTATATCATATAAGTATATTAGCTAACAAACTCACTGAGTTTTTTGCTATTATATATGTAGCTTAAAGTTTCCTTCAAAGCTCAATACTATGTTTATATCATATAAGTATATTAGCTAACAAACTCCCACGGAGTTTTGCTATTATATATGTAGCTTAAGGTTTCCTTCATAAAACTCAATACTAGGTTTATATAATATAAGTATTTTAGCTAACAAACTCTAAAGGGTTTTTGCTATTATACAATTAGCTTAAGTTTCATCATATCTTAAGCAGTATGGTTACATTATAAAATGTATTAGCTAACAAAACTCCACTGAGTTTTGCTATTATATATATAGCTTAAGTTTAATTATATCTTAAGCTCAGTACTATGGTTATAACATAAAAGTATATTAGTTAATAAACTCTAAGGAGTTTTTGCTATATACATTTAGCTTAAGTCTAATCTTATCTTAAGCTTAGTACTATGGTTACATTATTAATCTATAAGCCAATAAACTCTACAGAGTTTTGGCTATTATATATGTAGCTTAAGTTAATTATATCTTTAAGCACAGTACTGTACTCATATTGTAAAAAAATATATTAGCTAACAAACTCTACAGAGTTTTGCTATTATATATGTAGCTAAAGCTTATTCATATCTAAAGCTCAGCATTATATCTATATCATATAAGTATATTAACTAACAAACTCTAAAGAGTTTTGCTATTATATAATTAGCTTAAGTTTAATCATATCTTAAGCTTAGTACTATGTTTATATCTTAAAGTATTTTAGCTAACAAACTCTAAAAGTTATACTAGCATATTAACAAGCTTAAGTCTATTAGTCTTAAGCATTGTATTAATGTTATATATACTTTATCATAATAAGTACATTGTAATAACCTTTATATGGCAGCTGATAAGTTAGCAGCAGGAATTCATCAGTTCAGTACCTTTATGAAGTTCCCATAGGGTTATTACAATCATCACAGTTCAAATCACTAATTATTAAAATCCAAAGTATTATATATTTCCCACCTCCCTTTCCATCGGATGCTACAAGCAAAAAGAGCATGAGTCAGGATAAGGAAATATATTTTAGAGTAATTGATATTCTTTATAATTTATCCTGACTCATGAGGTAAGCTTTCCTCCCATCTCTCCCCCACATAACACTTTTTGATTTCCCTGTAAATTCAAATGTTGTGCTCAGTATGAGGAGAGAGAGTGAGGCACATGGGTGGAGGGTGGCCTCTCGCTCCCCGCCTTGTGGAAGGGAGGTAACTCGTGCTGAGTACTAATTAGTGATTTTACATTGAAGGGAGCTTCAATTAGGGAGATCCAAGTGTTCCACTATGTTCGCAAGAAGAAGAAGAAGAAAGCAAAAAAGAGCATGAGTCAGGATAAGTATAAAAATATCAATTTTACTCTAAAAATTACATAATTAGTCGTCAGGATCCCATGCTAGTTGGGAGTCAGGCAATCTTATTCCCAGCACACAAAGGCAACTATCTAACCCACTCAACCACCATGGCTTCAATATAATGAGAAAAGTGCTAGAATCTGTACTTTAGTGTAATCCCAAATATGATGTGTTACATTTGACCAGTTTCTAAATAACATTGTGCATTCACATTAACACAACTGCATACTGCTTTTCTGCTTTTCTTTGAGCATAAAATATGCTCACTCAAAGATTACGGTAGAAGATAGAACAGCCGCCATTTAATGACTGCTCCACAGGGCCTGTACAACTGTTATAGTTCTCCAATTTGGTTTGTAGGAAACAGCTTGAGCAGTATGTTGCCAAGGAGATAATAGAAAGAGCAGGCAAGATTGCACGGAAGGATAAAAAGGTATGTGTAGATCATACTGGCTGACTTTTCCAAGGAACAGTCTTTGGCAATGTGACCAGCGGAAGATCCAGAGGCGGTATTCATAAAGAAACTAAGATTTTTCCTAAGTCCAAACTTAAGTTTTTAAAACTGACTTAGCTAAGTCTGAGACTTAAGATGCTATTCATAAGCTACTAAGTCAGAAACTTAGCTAAGTTTCAAAGACATTAACTAAGTTTTTTCAGTAGTGCATACTGCTGATCACTAGGGTGAATCGAGTTATTTTAGACTTCCGTGAACTCTTTTTATAAAAGGTGTGAAAATGGCTTTTCGTTGGGATTTCCCGCTTTTGCTATTTACGACAGACGCAGACACATTGAGATACCGCGGTAATACATTTTGAAAATATGTCGGAGTCTGAGATAAAGAAGAGAAACCCTATTGGACTAAAGGCGAGGGTCCTGCTTTTGACCGAACTTCGCGGAAAACAAACGCCAGAGTGTTAGAGAGGAAGTTTCGTCCGGTGCGATGTGCCGTGTGGCGGCAAGAGGCGTGGCAGGTAATGTAAACATTGGGTCCGACTGTCAAGTAGTGTAGTCAAGAATACAGAAATGTCTTAGAATCACGTGCCACACATAGTTTTTATTTGTTTTGAATAGAATACGATTTTCTGTTCTCTTTTCTGAATTACATTGGTACGCCTATGAAACAGCCCAAAATGCATCAAACACTGGAAAAATGTAGTGAGAGTGTAGGTGATGATTAGCCGAGGTCACCACTGAAGGAGAAGGAACTTGTATGAACAAAAAGTTTTTAGCGAACATGACCTCATCCAAATAAAGTTTGATGAGGCTACAGCATGTGTAGTGTCAGGAATATTTGTAAAATTTCCTGTGTTTTGTTTACTAATAATGGAAAATTAAAAAATAGGAAATCCTACTTTTTTATAAAAAAATTAGGAACTCTATTTTATAAAATATCCTTTCTCCCAAATGCTCTGCCTCTTATTTGTCCACAATCATAATACATATAGTTGATTTCTAACAAGTTATGGTCATGACATAGTAATTCATAAGCAGATAGTAACATATGTATATCAAAATAAAGGTTGACAGTTTTTCATTCAACTCAACAGGTTATTACAGCAACCATCAACTCCGCTGGTCTGCATCCCAGATCTAAAGAAGAGGTAGGAGGTAGGGAGTTCAGCAGATTGACTAGAGGAACAGGCAAGTACTTTTCTTCAGTTCACTATATCCTGTATATGAGTCACCGGCATTAAATGATATCTATCAGTCTTCTGTCAATTGTCTTAAAGGTCACATGCAACGTTTTAAACACAACTTTGCAGATTCTGATACCTTCGGTATCGACTCTTACTACAAACAAAGCTGTCAAAAATGCAAATTCAACTTATGAAGTTGAAAAATAACGCCAAGAAAAAAAAAAACGCATGGCAATCGGAATTCAAACGCTTTCACTAATTCTTCTTCCCAGACTTTTCTGGGGAATACTGGTTTCAACAGCTGGGCTCGCCATAGCACGTCGCGCATAGAAGTGAAATAGGTTCAGCAGAACTTGGAAGCGGGCTGTCTGGTGAATACTCGTGAAGGCTTTGGTGTGAGCTATTTTTTATAATGTTTTGTTGATATCTCACAAGGCGAGCTTTTTATATGTTATGACAGTAAATAAACTGTTTATATAATTTCATTTGTCTATTTCACCACACGTTCTCCTTACCAGTCACTTTCTCAGTTCGATACTTAAAAGCAATGTCATTATTTAGCTAGCTGACAATTTTAACTACTGATATAGATATGTAAGCTGTCACAAACAAAACTCAATGTCTTGTTTTATTGACACCTGTGTGTCTGCCTGCCTGTCTGCTAATGACAATATTCAATACACAACCGCGCATCACTGACCACATGCAATTTGAACTTAACACCAATCAGGCTATACACCATAAAACAAAACGCGCATTGATTTATGGCCCGAAAGTTTGGTCTCTGTCACATTATGTAATTACACAGACAGGCAGGTGTGATACTTGAACACATGACATGTTATGATGTCTGTTGATTGCAAAATGTTATACACAAAAAATGAGCCTGTATTTACAAAACCCAACATCTCTATATATACACACACAATGAGCCGTGTAGGCAGCATCTGCTAATGAACCAGCCGCTACACTTGAGTGCGCACCTCCTCCTGAATGGAATAGTGATTGTCCTATTCCCTATTCCAATGAACATATATATATATGAAGTTATTTTAAATAAAAGAAATCAAATTAATGATTGTGATTAAATTTTTGATGCAGGAGATGGACCAGCACCAACACAAATCAGCCCAGGTGACCGATTCTGTCATTGACATTTTAGGCCAGGACAATGTGGCACTGACAGGTGTGCTTGGGTCAGTCGACTCAACAATGCTGCAGGTACTTGACTTGGTACCAACCGATGACAGGTAAATATGAATGATATGAGGTAAATTTTGGTTAGAATATCATCACCTCACTTGTGCATAAATGTGTTCATACATACATGTATTTTTTGGTATGCTTTTAACTGCACTGTCTGTTATGATAAATATATGTAAATGAACAACTGTTATTGGTTTTTTATATCTAATTGTAATAACACAAAACAACAGGCTTGTTAAAATTGAAAGAACATTTATATTAAAATTACATGCACATTTCTATCATTTTATTTTTAGACAGATTTATGAAGCCACGTGACCCCATCCACAGCCAGAGGGAGCCAGAATGGGTCCTGAGGAGCCACAGTCCATCCAGATGCTGCTCAAGATGCACCACACAAGCTCGGTTAAAACAGAAATTGCAGCTGGAAATAGGAATGCCCTCACCTTGAAAAGGAATACCTAAACAAAAAATCATGAAACTGAATTAGCTTAAACTGGGCTATAAATGTACTTGTTGAAAATCAGAAATATTTAATATTTGGGTATTAGGTGTATGATTCTCGGTCTAATATAAGGATAAAACAGATTCTGTTAGAAAACTATTGTGGGGCCTTTAGCCAAACAACAGAAATTAAATTGTCAATAGTACACATGAAGATAAGGGAATATACAATATTACAAATAAATAAAACTATCAGGTAGAATGTATTAATAGCATGAGTGATAAAACTTAATTTTGTTTTGGAGAGATTGTCTGTATTAAATGTAATAACATAATCCGCCATTTATAGTTCTAACTCTGACACTATGATAGAAGATCCTAAAAATCATCTTGCATACATGGAAAGTTTGTATTGAAGTGCTCTCTATATCTCAGTGCAGCCACTGGTGTGAGTGATTCCTGGTAGACCTCCACTCTGCCCATCATGCCTTCCAAATCCATCATGCCCATCTGTGGGTGGTAATGGAATGTTCTGTCCTTGCATATGTTGTGAAGGACAGCACATGCTATGATCACCTGAAATATGGAATAATTAGGTGATAAATGGAAAATAATAAATTTAGATACAAAGTCAGTATAGACATGGCCATGCAGTATACATTTTGAGATGATGAACTACTGTATTGCCTTTTACATATTTTCAATAGCATCAGTAAATAGGAAATTCATGACAACCCATATCATATTAAGTGATATATAGTAATATATATATGTATATAGTTTCATATTTTCAGTGATTCATACATCTTGCAAAATTGTAATTTATTAATCATATTGCCATTTAGCTTTGTTACCTTGTCAATTTATTTGTATTATTTATGTGGCAAGTAAACAGTGCTAAAGAAATAACTGTTGTTGATTATATTTTTCTTACCTTGCAAGCCTTCTCCAGGTTTTAACCTGATTTCCCCATGAAGAACAGGAAATCTGCGGCTTGAATTGGCCAATGGCCCTTTCAACACTGCTCCTCTTGTTCTTTTATCACGATCTGGGTTATGAAATAAAATATCATAAACCTCCAGCACAGTAAAACTGTTTGTGCTTGTCATTGTAAACTGTCACTTATTCAGTAAATAACTCTGAAAAAAACCTAATAATACAGTAACACTTACATAGATTATTTACATTCTACATTGAACTCCTGTCACTGGGTTGCCTACTAGAGGGCCTATTACAGTGGTTTTCCATGATGTTTTAAGAAAATAATTTCTAGTCATATTCAGCATACTCATAAAATGTCTACAACCTGATTACAGAATTCGTAGATTTTATGAAAACTGTATTTGCTTCGGTTATCCAGACTAAATGTAATAACGCTTTGGTGATCTATAATGTGTAATGAGTACGATTGCTCAATGTTTATTCGAGGTAAATACAAAGTACACCACTCTATGTTGCTGATCACAATCGGCAACTTTACCATGGAAGTTTACATACCTGTTGTAGTTTGTTTGTGGTCCTGCCAATGGCCTTAGGAAAGGGGTTAGTAGCCACTTCACAGGGGTAACCGCTGTCACTGAGAAGGTGCACGCATCCCATGGGGACAACATTTGAGACCGCTGTTGGTCAATATCGCATGAATCGCGGTGTCGATCCAGGCCACGGCGAGCGCCAATTATCCTGTCTTCGCTCGAAGCGATCTGTGTATTGATGCAGTGGTAAAGATGCGGTTTACAAATTCATTTTTCATTTACTGTTGGGGCTTGAATCTGAACGTCAGGCTCCGTTGATCACCCCCTCAACCCCAGGAAAGTTTGCAACCTGATAAAAGTTGGTCTGCGTGGCGCCACTGATGTCACTAAGTTGTAGGGGGAAGCCCGAACCAACTGTTTGATAATCCTGTCAGATGACAAACCGTTATGCAGTCATTCACAGCTCTGGAAATGGTTGGCTGGCTGACACCTTTGATCGTCCACACATTGCACAATTGAAATTTTCCGGTGGCAAAGTAATACCTCAATGTGATGAGCGTCCTTTGTAGAGGCATCCAGTGCGCGGTTACAGGTGGTTGTGGGCTCCAACGTCTGGCGCTATTAGACTGGCTTACTCCAATCCTAATGCCATTCCCATCTAGGACGTATGGCGAATTAATTCTTCATGGCTGTATTCAACGACTTTGTCTTCTTTGGTGAAATGAACGACGCCTACAGCCACGGCAGCCATATTGTTTACTGACTTAAGTCAAACACCTTCTAGTTAAGCCTACTTCCCGCCCCAGTCTTAAGATTTAAGTCGGAAATCGCCAAAACTTAAGCCTAAGTTGCTTTTATGAATATGACTTGAGTAAAATCTGAAAAACTTAAGTCAGAAAAAGTGAAAAACTTAGTTTTTAAAAAACTAAAGTCATATTTCAGACTTAAGTTCTTTTATGAATACCGCCCCAGGGTTAGAATATTGATCTTCAGTAACCCATGCTTGCCTTAAGAGGCTAACTTAACGGGATCGGGTGGTTAGGCTTGTTGAGTTGGTTGACACATGTCATCGGTTCCCAATTGTGCAGATTGATGCTCATCACTGGATTGTCTGGTCCAGACTGATTATTTACAGACCATACGCCCATATAGGTGGAATATTGCCGAAGTGTGGTAAAACTAAAGTCATATTTCAGACTTAAGTTCTTTTATGAATACCGCCCAGGGTTAGAATTGATCTTCAGTAACCCATGCTTGCCTTTAAGAGGCTAATTAACGGATCGGGTGGTTAGGCTTGTTGAGTTGGTTGACACATGTCATCGGTTCCCAGTATTCACTTTGTGATATGCGCCAGTTTAATATTTGTATAAATCATAAGTCCCACCTCCTCACTTCACCCCAATTCCCCTGTTAACTTTCAGTATTATTTGAAAAACACACATTTATCTCTGATATCGCTAAATGCAGGGACTCATTTTTGCTAAGTATCTTTGCTTTCGAGAGTGTTGTCCCCATCTCTTTATTTTTTGTTTTCTTTGTAAGGAACAGTTTTGTGCTACATGCTTTCCCAATTGTTGTGAGTGAGTAAGAAACAAAGAGGTGATAAGGTTTGATTATAGATGTTTGTTTTGGTATCTCTACATTCATCCTTGTAACTCCATATAGGACCCAACAAGAGGTAGCAGCACAAGCAACCTTAGAGACGGTCCAGCTCTGAGAAGGCGAGTGGTTTAGCCACCAGCAAGTCTGACACGGATCTCCTAAAGCAGGCATCTGTAACGACAGATGATGACACATCCCAGGAGTCACAAACACCATCATCATTAACACCGCGAAAAATCTGAGGGGAGAATATGCTGTGTGAAACCACACCTGCCACACCAAAGGTTGATGGGGAGAAGGTAGGACCATCTGTCGCGGTAAAATGCAATGAATACATTGTATTGCATACAGGCTTCCCTGTTCTTTAAGTCATGTTGCTTATTGCTACAGAAGTGACATAGTTGATCATAAAACCATCTAATAAATTGATTTATTACTCGCCTCGCGGAAGATACTGCAGTAATATTTTTACGCCAATATTACACTAGTGTAATATCGCTAGACGCCTGATCGTCACAATGCTAATACCTCTGCCACAATGGTACTAGTGCTTCATGAAAGCTGAAAGTCATCCACACTGTTAGTAGGCAGTTTCTGTCAATTTATGTTGGAGAGTAATAAACAGAATACTAAACTGGCTTCCATGAAATACCAGTTTTATTAAACTCGTGAAAGATTTAGTCTCAAACTTGCTTTCGCTCGTTTGATACCAAATCATTAACACTAAAAATGGTATTACACGGAAGGTCGTATAGTATCCTCTATAGTTATGCCATACTACAGCCATAAGCAGTAAATAATAATCAGTCAGAAGCAATGTGAAATAATCTAAAGAACGTCATTAAAAAGTGACCAGTAACCAAGACAACATTCACCAGCAGCAAGTAAAAGGCTAAGTAACATACAGCAGCAGCATGTAAAAGGCTAAGTAACATTCAGCAGCAGCAGGTAAAAGGCTAAGTAACATTCACATGCAGCAAGTAAAGACTAAGTAACTTTCACCAGCAGCAGGTAAAAGGCTAAGTAACATTCAACAGCATGCAGCAGGTAAAAGGCTAAGTAACATACAGCAGCAGCAGGTAAAAGGCTAAGTAACATTCAGCAGCAGCAAGTAAAAGGCTAAGTAACATACAGCAGCAGCAGGTAAAAGGCTAAGTAACATACAGCAGCAGCAGGTAAAAGGCTAAGTAACATTCACATGCAGCAAGTAAAAGACTAAGTAACCTTCAGCAGCAGCAAGTAAAAGGCTAAGTAACATTTACATGCATTAAGTAAAAGGCTAAGTAACATTCACATGCATCAAGTAAAAGGCTAAGTAACATATAGCAGCAGCAGGTAAAAGGCTAAGTAACATACAGCAGCAGCAGGTAAAAGGCTAAGTAACATACAGCAGCAGCAGGTAAAAGGCTAAGTAACATACAGCAGCAGCAGGTAAAAGGCTAAGTAACATCACCAGCAGCAGGTAAAAGGCTAAGTAACATGCAGCAGCAGCAGGTAAAAGGCTAAGTAACATACAGCAGCAGCAGGTAAAAGGCTAAGTAACATACAGCAGCAGCAGGTAAAAGGCTAAGTAACATACAGCAGCAGCAGGTAAAAGGCTAAGTAACATACAGCAGCAGCAGGTAAAAGGCTAAGTAACATACAGCAGCAGCAGGTAAAAGGCTAAGTAACATACAGCAGCAGCAAGTAAAAGGCTAAGTAACATTCAGCAGCAGCAGCAGGTAAAAGGCTAAGTAACATTCACATGCAGCAAGTAAAAGGCTAAGTAACCTTCAGCAGCAGCAGGTAACAGGCTAAGTAACATTCACATGCTGCAAATAAAGGCTAAGTAACATACAGCAGCAGCAAGTAAAAGGCTAAGTAACATTCAGCAGCAGCAGCAGGTAAAAGGCTAAGTAACATTCACAGCAGCAAGTAAAGGCTAAGTAACATACAGCAGCAGCAAATAAAAGGCTAAAATGACATTTACATGCAGCAAGTAAAAGGCTAAGTAACATTCACATGCAGCAAATAAAAGGCTAAGTAACATACAGCAGCAGCAGGTAAAAGGCTAAGTAACATCCAGCAGCAGCAGCAGGTAAAAGGCTAAGTAACATTCAGCAGCAGCAGGTAAAAGGCTAAGTAACATTCAGCAGCAGCAGGTAAAAGGCTAAGTAACATTCAGCAGCAGCAGGTAAAAGGCTAAGTAACATACAGCAGCAGGAAGTAAAAGGCTAAGTAACATACAGCAGCAGCAGGTAAAAGGCTAAGTAACATCCAGCAGCAGGAAGTAAAAGGCTAAGTAACATACAGCAGCAGGAAGTAAAAGGCTAAGTAACATACAGCAGCAGCAGGTAAAAGGCTAAGTAACATACAGCAGCAGCAGGTAAAAGGCTAAGTAACATCCAGCAGCAGGAAGTAAAAGGCTAAGTAACATGCAGCAGCAGCAGGTAAAAGGCTAAGTAACATACAGCAGCAGGAAGTAAAAGGCTAAGTAACATAGCAGCAGCAGCAGCATTTAAAAGGCTAAGTAACATGCAGCAGCAGCAGGTAAAAGGCTAAGTAACGTACAGCAGCAGCAGGTAAAAGGCTAAGTAACGTACGGCAGCAGGTAAAAGGCTTAGTAACATGCAGCAGGTAAAATGCTAAGTAATATACAACAGCAGCAGCAGGTAAAAGGCCAAGTAACATTCACACACTGGAAGCGGTCCTGGGATAATCTCTGAAGTGCAAAGACATTCAGAAGCAGCAAGTAAAATGTAACATAGCCTGAAACAGCAGGTTGTATTACCTTCATTTGAAGTTTGTGAACAATAATTAATCAGCACTGGGAAACAGTTATACAAGTATACCAGTGAACATGTAACATAAGTAACATACAGCAAGTATGATTGTAGGATGGTGTCCCCACAGCCAGTGATGGTGAGGACCTGATGGTGGCTGGAGGAGAAGGCCGGGCCAAGAGACCAGCCTCCCCATCGAACAGACCACACAGAAGAGAAGTAAAATGAGGAAGATGAGGTCAGTGCTCATGTAATGGTCTCCCGTGTTTCTGTCACACAAACTGGAGAAATATTTGTTTTGATTTCATATGCTGTAGTTATAACTCATTTCACTTGGTATATCTAAATAAAATCATTGGGGTGTTGGGATAGCCTAGTGGTTAAAGCTGCCTCTCTTGTCATGCTGAAGGCCCTGGTTCGATTCCCCACATGGATACAATTGACCAGTAATCCCACTTGTTGCAACAGCAAAGGAAAACTATGGACATGGTTCTGAGACTGCTGTTAATGTGAAAGAATGAACTTCCCAGTAATGATATGTAGGTTTAGATGCCCAGGGTTACATGTCTATGTTTGTATAACCATTACTTTTCCAGAGAAAAGAAGCACCTATGCAGGTTGATGACAAAGTTACCACAGACAAAGTAGCAAGTGTAAATAAGGTAAGCGAATTAAGGATTCCTCATCTGGACAGCGTGAATTGACTTACATTACTGATGGTCGGATGGTTTCATTCCCTTTGGAACATGAGGCTTCATTCACTTTCGAAATATACATGTATTCTACAGAGTTAGCCACAGCAATGTGATTTATGTTTCCGTTTCTATTTGTTAGTTTTGACACGCTTTTTTGGTTCTTAGTGATTGTAAAAACACTTTTCAATCTGCAGTGTTATAAAGTGACATAAATGATCACGACCAGTGTTACTTCTGTCTTATCAAGCTGTTGTGATGTGATGTAACAGAACTACTGTTCAAAGGGTGTTGAACCAAAGACTCTCACTAATAATATTATGACATGTAAATATTGTGACAACTGAGAACAGGAGTGTGTGAGTGGTTTTACGCGTTTTTTAGCAATATTCCCGCAATATCACGGCAGGACTGAGAACAGGAGAGAATGATTTCCATATATAATTTTCACAATACGAAGTACTAGGCCCTTGTTCCTAGTTGATGAGATGCCTGTCCATGAGACTTATATGTCATCACAAATATCTCCCTTGTGTTACAGCATGTGAATAGACTGCCCAGCAACGATCTGCCCGACATCACCAGCCCACAGCCCATGTCTCAAGGTGTACCGTTCCAGCTCATAAAAAAATTCCATAAAGTTAAAACTAAAATGAACATAGGTATATCATTGTATCAGTGTATAGTGCTAACAGTCATGCAAAGCGGAACAGAAGACACCAGACTGTTTACCAGAGAAGCCAACAAGGCTTGACAATACAGGTTAGAAAGGGAGACAACTCTCAACAGCATGTGTAACCCAGATAAGGAGATGCTGATAAGGTGTATGATCTTGTAGTGATGAATGTTTGTGTCTGCTGGTGTATGCTGAAAGTGTTGGTAGCCAGAGTTGAGGTGTTGTGACATGTACGAGTGTCTTGGGTTGGTGAAGCAATAATATCCATCTGTTTCTGGATTTCAGAAGATTTTAAGTAAGCTTGTGATGATTTTATATTAGGAAGTATATTTTCATGTGAGTTTAACAGGTTACATATAGTAAGAAATTAGAATGATGTTGAGTTTGCTTTTAAATTTTCTGAAATTCAAAACTTGCTTTTATGTTTTCTAAGTGTTGTACAATTCTGTGGGAAAAGGGTGGATATATTTGTGTTTTCATTTACATAGATATTCAACATGTAATGACCCAACCTTTGGGAATGTGATTTGGGTTTAGATAATTTTAGACACTGTGTTTTGATTGGGGTTAATTATGTTACAGTTTGATCTTTTGAAATTCAGTCTAGGGCAGCAAGAGATTATTATTCTCATCGAGCATATATTCTATGTATATTTGTTGTAATATAAAACAGATGTGAGCAATGCAGTTTGTCAGCTGACAAGAGGCTCAATGTTTATGTGGGAATCCCTTATAGTTCATAGCAGGTTAATGCAAGTACCAGCTCTATGTTGAAACATATATTACACATTGGTACCTCAGTAGTGCCACAGTATTTTGTCAGAGTTCATTTTTGTACGTGGGTAATGATTAATTTTCAAATACATAATTTAAATATTGCTAAAAGCTGCGAAAACTAAACTCAGTCAGTCAGTCATTTTTCAGTGATTAATTTTCAAATACATAATTTAAGAGTCGCAGTCTGATTTTACACCAGTAAACCGGACTATGATGAATTTATCAAATTGATTTGGGATTACTGATTGTCAATTTGCTGGCTTTAAACGTTTTGTCATGTATTCACGAACACTATAAAGATAAAACTAAGTGTTTGCCAGGCTTTTTGGAGGTGGAAATGGTTACTGTAGAGCTTCTAAATCATCCCCACTTGTACACAGAGTAGTAAAGATTGGATTCTTTATTGTAGATACCTGAAAACATAGTCTGGAATTCCTCGTATGTTTGCTAAGAAATATTGTTTAGTTTCTGCTATACTTGTGTGCAGGTTAGATTTGTTAACATATTTCTGATCATTATAAGTTCATGTGTGTTTCATGTAAGAAATCAATACATACATGGGCAAAACCAATCACTGACACATGTCAATGTCTCATCTTGTGTAGAAGTATCAATTAATGTTGGCGTTTTACATGAATGAAAGGAATCCTACTGACCAAAGCCATTGATGTTGATTGCAATTTTCATGTGAGCATTTAAACACACTGGTGGTTGTTTCAGTTTCTGTGTGTATATATATGTTGGGATATGTATGTGAAGCCTCTCGGCAGCACAGCTATGTCAATCTCCCTGCTGTACATGGGCAGTTCATTTTGGACGGAATCACAGAAATCATTCTTACATTGTATAAACCATCACACTCTGTAGTCTCGTGGTATTTATCATGTATCATCTGTAAATAAAAATTTGAGTTATCTTTACAAGATATTGTACTTTTCTTGTTTTGTCAATGGGATGTTGTTTTCTGTTGCTCTACTGGCGGTAGTGTAGCTGAGTGGATAAAGTGTTTGGTCATCACACCAGAATTCGAGGTTCAATTCCCCACAGTGGTACAATATTGCTGAATATCGTTAAAGGTGGTATAAAACCATACCCGCTCACACACTGTTGTTGTACTGGAGTGCTACTGATTGTGTTCAGAAAGTTGATTTGGGGCATGAATCCTTGTTCATCCAGATTAATATTCTTGGTATGTCAGCACAATACTGATCATGTGTTTTACAATGTAAACATTTGGAACCAGCTTCACTTTGTCTTTCCTGCCCCATTTAGCTGTGATTAAGCTGAAATAATGTTAAAAGTCTCTTAAAACTGACTACATGCTTTGGTAATGATGGTTCTGTTTTGATATCCATTATTGTTGTGGGGCAGTGAGGTAGCCTAATGGGTTGGGGGATGGGGTGGTTTGGATGATGATTTTTATGGAGAAGCATGTACAATGTGAATGAATCTCTTCTCTCTCCCCCCCAGGTAGTGACCCCCAACATGTCATGTACAAAATCCTTGACCTCTCCCCATTTCCATATTTTTAAAGCATCCTTTTAAAATATTTTTATGTACAAAATTGCAGAACCCCCTAGAAACATGTACAAAATTGGTGACCCCCCTACCTCCCCAGAACAAAATGGGTGACACCCCCCACCCCGGGTATCCGTCTCAGTACCCGTACCCTTTACGATCATGTGACTAATAGATTAAAGTATGTAACATGTTATTCTTTCATGATGAGAAGGTTGTATTGTCTTTGAAGATTTAGACATAATTGTGCAGTCACCTGTTTTGAATATAATGCGTGGATAAGATATTAGATAAACTTGAAATTGTCTCCGAGCTGAAGAATATATTGCTTACAAATTTGATGTCAGGAATTAACATAACGGATATCTGGGTAGGGTAGGGTAATAGGGGGTGGGGTACCAGGGTAGAAAATTTGAACCCGTCGCAGCCCTACTAATTGTTTTTTATGAGGATAGAGCGACGAACAGTGAGAAATTCAAATATACGGTACATACGGGTTTCTCGTGTGAGATTTTACGTGCTCTTTCCGACATGCAGCGTATTTCCCACGCTGTCTGACGATCTATTTGGTTTTATATACTACCCATCAAAAGTTAAGACTCGCTAGTGTAAATGTAGCCACTTACTTCAGTCAACTGTCCTAAACTAGATTTTGCAAAATATTCCATACTGTTTAAAGGTACTGTTTACACATGACCTGATGTATTGTAAAACAAATTCGTAACGTTGAAAAGATTGTCATGAGTTCAGTAAATGATGAAACTCAGTGAAAATTGGCGAATTCTTAACCAAACTTTAAACCAAAACGTAGCTGTTCACATGCACGATATTTGCACATGCTTTTCAGCAATTTAATGCATGATCCCCGTGCAATTCATCTACGTAAAGTTTGCAGTTGGTTCCCCCAAGTTAGTGGAGAAATTCATCTTCGATGTAACCATATATATATATACATAACACATAGCGAATGCTTTAAGTGAGTCTAAACTTTTTATGGGTAGTATATGTTTCATTTTTGTGCCCGATTTGATATGTGTGCTAAATAATTTGAAGTGATGTAATTGTAAATAGTTTCGAAACAGTATATTTATATGTTGACGAAACAACTTTAACCTAAAACACTGTGCTCATATTTCACTTCACTGGGGATATTTTAGTCTGGCGTTTTGGGGGTCTTTCATATTTTTTCGGGCGATGGGGTAGCCTAGTGGCGTTTAGTTTTACACTCCTTTTAGCAATATTCCAGCAATATCACGGCGGGGGACACAAGAAATGGGCTTTACACATTGTACCCATGTGGGGAATCGAACCCGGGGTTTCTGCGTGACGAGGAAACGCTCTTACTACTAGGCTACCCCACCGCCCCTTAGACTTGCGACAGTCGTAGCTCTACGATAGCTTTGTGAAACAGGTCCCTGGTCTCGCCAACAGTGATTAATAAACGGATTCTCATGATATTGACAGTGGACAAAATGGAGTCTGCTTTTGGCATAGATTTTTATGAATAAGGAAAGAGCTTAGTGGCTTTTTTGTTCGAAGCTCTACCCGTTAAAGCGTCGGTTTGTGCAAAGTATTACGTATATCTTCACAAAGCTGGTGCTCAGTATTCAGTCAAGAGAAAAATGTACATAAAGAAGCATGTTCAATGTGAATGCTCCCCCCCCTAAATTACATGTACAAAGTAAGTGGACCCCCCGCATGTCATGTACAAAATCAATGCCCCCACCTTCCCATAATTTTTAAGCATAATATTTACATATTTTTATGTACAACATTGCTGACCCCCCTACCTCCCCAGAACAAAATGGGTGACCCCCTTAATATCCCTCACACACAGAGATTATATACGGTCCCTAATCATATCGAACAAGGCATTTCACCAAGTAATCTTTGGTTTCTGGATAAGGCTATTGCCGTGGTATTGTTAAAAGAACTCGCTCTTTACAGAATGAACATGAGCCTTGATTCAAATGATAAAACAGGAGTCCTGTCAGGTTTGTCTGTTACCCAACATACACATCCCGAAATATATGTTTTTTCTTGCAGACATACACATGAAAAAAAGTTGCTTTAATTAGCATTTTCTTACAAAACCCTTTATTATGTACACTACAAACAATAAAGTATGAATATAGAAAAAACAAAAAACGTAAAAGGAGCACAGAATTGTATGGCAATGGCAAACACAGTAATAATGCCAAGGAGTGTCTGAAATCACTGAGAGTCTTTCGCATGTATTAAAATGCGAACGTCTTACTGAAACACAGGGTTAAACATAACATTACAAGGATTACGAATCTCCTTAGTTGTTGAATTCATCAAAAGTCCGTAATGGTCATCGTCACCAGCGGGTGTGTGCATGTCAACGACGTGTTCAGTATCGGCGGCACCACGACAAGAGGAATTGACTTTCAATGTATCACAATCGGAAATACGTCTCGAAGCATCGTCGTCATCTTTGTAAGCCCCGATTGTATTGTACATGTCGTTGTCGACGCCGTCCTGACTGGCGACCTCAGACTCTTCGTGATCTCTCATTTCTTTAATGGATGCGTAGTCTGTCGCTTTGTCGTCGTCAAGTTCCTCAATGCCATGTCCTTTTCCATTGAATGTCATTTTAATGTCATCAGTCACCATGGAACTTGACTCAAGTAGTGATCTGCCCGTGCAGCATCCCCTCATTAAGTCGAAGACCCTCTTTGTACACACGAACGAGACGAAAATATATAAGCCCTTAACAACGCATAATATTACGAAAATGTACTTATAGATCTCTGAGTCCACCAGAACAGACACAAGAGCAAAGAACCAGGTGATTCCTGTCAGAATGGAAAGCTGTGCATACAGACTGATGCTAGACTTCTTGCTCTTCAGCTCAAGCTGTTCCTTGGCCAGTTTCCTCATGGTAAGAGCCGTTGCCACGAAAAAGACCCCATTGATAGCCATGATGATAGCAACAGGGACCCCGACTGCGAAAAGTACAGAGTAAAAGTTGGACACATAGCAAATGCTTGACCCATACCCCATGTCCTGACCATTACTCAGCCTATGGTTGACCGCCACGGTTCCAGCAACGATTGCACCAGGGATGATAATGCTGACGAAGACGTATAGGACGTATCTTTTTCTGTTGCTGTAACTGGCATGTCGTGATAGGAGGAGGTTCTTGAAGACGACGTACATGTGGACTGTACAGATGGACATCCACGTGAAGGAACTCAGAAGGAAGAAATGCGTTACTATTCCAGTCACCATGCACATCTTCGGTTGTTCAATTCTTGCACTGCCCAGTGTGTACAGCAATAGAGCTACTAGCAGTGTGAAGACGAGTCCCATTCTGTTCTTACCAGGAAGAGTCCTCAATGGTTTGTAGATGCAGTAAACGACGAATGTCAGCAGGAGGAGGCAGATGAGGGTGAGAGTCAGACATACCATCGAAACGTAGAAGAGAGTTCCCGAGGACACACTGGTTGACGAAAGGGTTACAGATCCTCCGCAGGTTGTTCCATTGTCAAATATCGCCGTGTAACAGACATAACCAGTGTGATTAGTGGAAGGTTCAAATTGACTGATATCAATGGTTTCATTGGAGCCAACACGTTGCATTGTGTTAGTGACCTCATCATATGTGTAATCGACATCTTGGAAGACCTTCACTCTGGGACACTGTAGAGTGGCTGCGACGTAAAGAGGCTTGTTGTTCTTTGTGAAGTCGATGATCCTACCGACGTCAAGGGTGTAGATATATGTTTTCTCGTCTAAGGTATCGGTAGTGAGCCTTGGGTAGGTGGTGTTGTCATCAGGATCTGTCCAAACCGGCTCCGCCATGAATGTGACATTAGAGACGCCAAGTTTCACTGACCAAACCGATTCACGCAGTTTCAGAAGTTTGGATTCCATCTCGTCAATCTCGCTCTCCCAGTTGATCAGGAATGTTGTGTGGACAGAAATGTACTCAACTCTGCTGGGAGAAGTTTCCGACTCTCTATTGACATGAGCCTTGAATCGAAAAAGTCCAAATCCGAATGAATCAATGCCCAGCACTGGTTTAAGGTGGTCCTTGAGTTGGCCTGCAGTGGTGGTCAACCACGTCTCGATGTTGTCGTTCACCACGAGGCTTGCCGTGGGTCTGAGGAGTACCTCTGTGTAGTACACCATTCCTTTCGCCGACCTGATGACTGAGAAGCAGGTGTCATCTCTGAGGATGCGGTCCCCCGTGCACTGTATCTGGCGACACTCCTCCTGCAATGCAGTATACACATCTTATATCAACATATCTTTAAACTGTGTATTTCATGGTTTTTGAGGATTATCAAGAACAAAATCTTGTCTTTCATTTTGAAATAAATGAAATGACAATCACATAAATCTAATAAAACATTCAGGTACTCAGAGCACGTTGAACCGGTTCCTTTGGCATCGCTGTTTATTATATCAATGTATTCAGGTTGGTCAATATATAGGTTTGGCGAAATGAAAATGAATAGCTCCTTCATTCCATACAGTAGGGTAGCCTTATAGGACAAAGGTTAACAGAAACGTCCAAAGTCCTTGTTTCTATGCATTACCTTGGAACTTCGGGAGAATATACCTATTTGGTGGTTCTATTGTAGAGGACTATATATAATATATTTGGTTTCTTCTACAAATGTCTTAGAGATGGGGGACACATTCGTCAGGGCTGTGGTTATAATAATGTTTTCTTTTCCAAAATGTCCAGGTACAGTCAGAAAGATGTATCCATTTATATGACTTCTAGAATGACCCGTGCAGAAATATTCGTCAAGTATTGCCTTCCCCTAAACTACCAAGGTGACACGCCATGGCACGACAGAAATATTGCTCAAAGCGGCATTTAAGGACTTATTTTAGCATTCTCACGCTAAGTTGATGCCATCTTTTATGCCAGCACCTAGTATCCTCACTATTTAACAGTGATTCGTTAAGGCATACTCATGATAGACACTTGTAAATCCTCTCTGCTTTAGGCAGAGCCTACTTATGGATGTGAAAAGATTTTGTACTTACTGTGTTGTTGTTATATATTGTTCCCGCTGGACATTCACAGGACAGAGCTGTCGTATGCTGCAGCATCTTGATGGCCTCGGGATCCATCACTACAGAGAAGGGGTAGGGCATGTCGAACGGACAGCTGGGCATTGGCAGGAAGTTATCGTCAAGGTCGCCATGGTTACACATATAGCAGAAGACATTCCGATAGGTATTCCCGAACAGGTGAATCGGGGCGGAATACCCAAGGCAGCTATTTTCTGTTGTGGCATTGTATTCCTGCCATTTGCCTGTGGTGTTACAAGACGACGTGATCTCCTCAACGGGCGTGTAACATGGCCTCATATTCGTGTCTTTTGGCGGGTGCAGGAAGATGGCGCAACCGATGTCGTCGATGAATGTCTGTATGATTTGTTGGGAGGTCATACCAGGCCTCAACCAGACAAGCTGGGTACACTGGGCTTTGATTGACCAGAGTCGGTACTCTGTAGCACCGTTACATTCAGCACAGAACTGGTTCCGATACAGCTCCGTCTCTGTCTCAACAGGAACCCACGAAGTGATGTTCATGTCCGGATTTTCGCAAAGCTTCACCAGCTCCTCATCAGTTGTGATGGAACATTTTTGGATTGAATGGAAAGCGAACTCTGCTTTCTTGTCATAGATGAGTTTGAAGGCATTGCTATGGCATCTATATCGGGATGGGTGAAAATTTGGGGTTCCCAAATGTTCCAGAGCTTTGTCCGCACAGCAGTCGCCATATTTGTCGCACTGGTCATCGCAGTGGCAACCTGGACAGATGCGGCAAGATCCACTGTTTGTTACGTTGGATTTCGAACACATGCGGTCCTGCCCGCAGAATTTCTCATTCATATATTCAATGTAGATCCTCTCGGTTTCTGTGAATGATATTTCGTCTGCCACTGTCGTCATTACTAGGGAGATGACGAAGACGATGTGTGGGTAGACGACGCGCATCATGGTACGCGGGGACACTGGTCGCTGTCAAATAAATAAACAAAACGTTTTCATACAGTTGTGTTTGTGGAAGATGTCACTTACAGTGTATTTCTTGAGAGGTGATTTATTGATTCATCTTACGTGAGGATGAAAGAATTAAGAGCATTTCAATATAAAATGAATTAGAACTCAACTTAATGACTCACACAAAGCCAAATAATTGATTATCACAGTGCGTTACAATGCCCAGTGAGCACATGTAAAAAACTTGTGTAAACAGGAAAAAAACCTTACCCAAAATGATAGAAGATTAATTAATGTTTAAAAGAAGTTAAATCAAGACGATGTTAAGAAGAAACTCCTTCCACAAGTAATGAGAATATATTTTCAGCGGCAAGAAAAACAAACGTCGCCCATTGAATCAAAGCATTAACAGTCAGCATGATCCATGTTTACCTTATTTAATCAGGTAAACTGATGTTACTTGCGGGCTTTCTGAGGAACTTCTTCGAAAGGTAAGAACGAGTCTTGACACTTCGCACGAGTGTCGATTAATGAGAGAAATCACTTTCACGACACTTTTATGTCAGTCGCCATGTTTGTGCCCCGAGGCTGACGACGTGCTGGACGTCAACGATGCGAGGCAGGACGCGCGAGATATGCGGTTATGACGTTGGAGGTTGTAATAAGTATTAGTAGTGTAAGGTACAGGGATGAACAGAAACAAGTACCATCAATGAGTTTTGGTGAATGCGTTAATTTGGAAGGTATTGACATTGCATCACCAATATCGCGTTAACCTCTCATTACCCGTTGGATAGAATGTTGCTTTTGTTGACGTTTGATAGTGTCAGCATGGATCCACGTTTTTGTTGTGTCAACGTCCACGATCCAGTTGTTGTTGAGTCAACATTGACCATGTGATCCAGTATGTTTAAGAGTGTCAACATTGACCATGTGATCCAGTGTGTTTAAGAGAGTCATCGTTGACCATGTGATCCAGTGTGTTTAAGAGAGTCAACATTGACCATGATCCAGTTTGTTTAAGAGAGTCATCGTTGACCATGTGATCCAGTGTGTTTCAGAGTGTCAACATTGACCATGTGATCCAGTATGTTTAAGAGTGTCAACATTGACCATGCGATCCAGTATGTTTAAGAGAGTCAACATTGACCATGTGATCCAGTGTGTTTTTAAGAGAGTCATCGTTGACCATGTGATCCAGTGTGTTTAAGAGAGTCAACATTGACCATGTGATCCAGTGTGTTTAAGAGAGTCATCGTTGACCATGTGATCTAGTATGTTTAAGAGAGTCAACATTGACCATGTGATCCAGTGTGTTTAAGAGAGTCAACATTGACCATGTGATCCAGTGTGTTTAAGAGAGTCATCGTTGACCATGTGATCCGGTGTGTTTAAGAGAGTCATCGTTGACCATGTGATCCAGTGTGTTTAAGAGAGTCAACATTGACCATGTGATCCAGTGTGTTTAAGAGAGTCATCGTTGACCATGTGATCCAGTGTGTTTAAGAGAGTCATCGTTGACCATGTGATCCAGTGTGTTTAAGAGAATCAACATTGACCATGTGATCCAGTGTGTTTAAGAGAGTCATCGTTGACCATGTGATCCAGTATGTTTAAGAGTGTCAACATTGACCATGTATGATCCAGTGTTGTTTTAAAGAGTCAACATTGACCATGTGATCCAGTGTGTTTAAGAGAGTCAACATTGACCATGTGATTCAGTGTGTTTAAGAGAGTCAATATTGACCATGTGATCCAGTATGTTTAAGAGGTCATCGTTGACCATGTGATCCAGTGTGTTTAAGAGAGTCAACATTGACCATGTGATCCAGTGTGTTTAAGAGTGTCAACATTGACCATGTGATCCAGTGTGTTTAAGAGTGTCAACATTGACCATGTGATCCAGTGTGTTTAAGAGAGTCAACATTGACCATGTGATCCAGTGTGTTTAAGAGTGTCAACATTGACCATGTGATCATCTGTGTTTAATTGTGACAGACAGACAGACAGACAGACAAGTTTATTCAGTAAAAGGCCACAGGCCCATCATACAGTCATTTGCATATGATATAGATAGTTTAGTGCACATGCTGTGTAAGAGGAACATTTCTAATGCGCTGAAGTACATGATACAGAAAAATACTGACATCTCTTATGATACAATCATTATGTGTTTTCATAACGTTAATAAAATTGGCATTTGGACCAAAATCAGTCAAATATTTCTGAATATATCTTAACCTTAAATCTGAAAAACGTTCACTCTTAAGGAGTACATGAAATTCATCTTCAATAACAATTTTGTCATCCAATTTACAAAATAAACATAATCTCTTTGTTATTAACTTTATTGTATCTTCCAGTTTCAACAGCTAAATTAAAATTACCACATCTAAATTTAGAGAGTGCAGATCCGAGATGTAAAGGAATATCAGAATTTAAATACCTTTCCACATTTAAAAATGTCTTAAATTGGGAGTAATAAAAACATTTATTAGAATTTTGAATTGAAGTGAACCAACATTGTTAAAGATTAACAGAAAGTCTCTGCTTAAACAAGGATATAAAATAATCAACATTGCCAACATCCTGACTGATCCATGCATAGCCAAAACCATACTTAAATAAAATATTTCTGACACAAGGTGCCCAAGTAGTGCTGCCAACATCATCTAAGGACTTGAGCATACTATAACAATGTTTTGGCAGTCTATTATAAGGCATATACAATAGGTGACACCAGTATTTCATTACTTTAGTCATATAAGTAATTCGTAGAGGAAGTCTGCCACAATCACCAAGAGCCATGTTATTACAGGTAGATTTACCAACTTTCAAGAAATATTTACAAAATTTTACCTGAACAGACTCAATGATGCTACAATAGTTAGTACCCCAAATCTCAGACCCATAACACAAAATAGGTGAAACCATACAGTCAAAAATCTTAAACAAGTCTTTACAATTAACTCTTCCCATCATTTTTTGAAAACCATTTACAGAAAATAATGTTGCCTTGTTAGCTTGAGGTACCAGACAGCTTTGTGCTTTACTCCATACAAGCTTTGGTGTAAATACAAGTCCTAGATATTTATAAAAGGATACAGTTTCAATAGGATTACCATTATAGAACCACTTTTCATATTCCCGTAATGGCCCACCATTTCTAACAACAAGAACTTTTGTTTTACTAAGATTACTTGAATGAGTTGATGAATGTCAACATGGAACGTATGATCCTCTATGTTTAATTGTGTCAACATTGAACCCGTGATCCTCTGTTTTAATTGTGTCAGCATGGACCATATGATCCACGTGGTTTAATAGTGTTATCCTGGAACTTATGATCCAATGCGTACGCCTATACCAGCGGGAGCAAGGTTCGTATGATCCACGATGCTAATAGTGTAAGTATTTACTGTATGATCCACGATGCTAATAGTGTAAGTATTTACTGTATGATCCACGATGCTAATAGTGTAAGTATTTACTGTATGATCCACGATGCTAATAGTGTAAGTATTTACTATATGATCCACGACGTTTAAACAAAACGATACAGAACTAAAGTACTTTAGATACTGTTTTGAACGTATGATTCATAATTCATCAATGATAACTGGGGCGGTGGGGTGGCCTAGTGGTTAAAGCGTTGGCTCGTCACACCGAAGACCCGGGTTCGAATCCCCACATGGGTACAATGTGTGAAGCTCATTTCTGGTGTCCCCCGCCGTGATGTTGCTGGAATATTGCTAAAAGCGGCTTAAAACAAAACTCAGTCAGTCAGTCAATGATAACTGATAAAATATCAGCTTTCAAATGCAACTTGGCTTTGCGCAGTACTGTAGTTGAACTGACCGTCTCTGTCAAATAGTACATAGTTAATGATCAATCACTAGTCACAGCTCTCGTAAACACATCCATATCGATCCCTGATCCCTGTGTCAGACTTATCAATTAGTCACATGGCCAGCCAATGATACTAGTTGTTTGTGACTTCCACACTTGTTTACGGTTTTTCACGAATTCTTCGCATGTTGTACTATACAACCTACCAGGGATTGTCTTCTTGCACCGTTGACCCACTGCCTTACATAGCTGAACGTACCACTGAGGTAAATGTAAGTGTGTTTCACTAATTCAATAAACTATTTCAAATAATACTGCAAGGTATTTCTTTTCACACAACTTCTTCTATTGTGTCCTTTTTAAAAAAAACCCAGCAAATAAAGATTCCAACAACGTATGGTTATGGGAATTACTTTTTATTGAAAATGTATTTGATTTAATTTAGTTTTCCGTCTGTATGAAGACATACGTACAGCAGTGTACAAATGAATAACAGAATAACAGAAGTGCATTGTATTTCGAGGCCAGGAGGCCTAGAGTACAGTTTAAGATGTAGTTTAAGATGTTAAATACATTTTTCAGAGCGCTATAATCTTATGATAATACCATATGCACTATAGCACACAATACCAAATGCAACACGTTCTATTTGGGATAGAAATGTACAGATGTACAAATGTACAGTTGCGTGATATGTAAACGTTGTGTATATTCAATACGCCGTTATGCTTGCTGTACAAAAGCACGTATTGTGTACTCATTGGGAATATATTCAGTGTCTCTCCTTTTGAAGACGAATCCCTTAAAATCTTCTAGTCGTAATTGATACGCATACGTGTTCCATCTGCTCTGACATAAAACACAATCGTCTCAGATTTATCCCAATCACGAAAACCCGTAAAGATCCGGGTTAGAATTGATCTTCAGTAACCCATGCTTGTTGTAAGAGGCGACTAACGGGATCGGGTGGTCAGGCCCGCTGACTTGGTTGACACATGTCATCGGTTCCCAGTTGCGTAGATCGATGCTCATGCTGTTGATCACTGGCTTATCTGGTCCAGACTCGATTATTTACAGAGCGCCGCCATATAGCTGGAATGTTGCTGAATGCAGCGTAAAAATATACTCACTCACTCACCCAATCA